TCAGACACAGTAGCTTAAATATTGTAAGTTTCTCACATATAAGAAACCCAAAGTACAAATAAATAAAATAGAAGATAATAGTATACAGGGAGATAGAACGTCTGCAAAAAAAAAAGGAAGGAGATTGAGCGATGGCAGGGGGGAAAAAAGAGCAGGGAGAGAAGGGGAAGGAGATAAAAAGAATTGAGATGTGTCATACACATGTACCAACTTCCCACGATGAAAATAATCATACTCCAAACATGTACTAATAAAATTAAAAAATAAAGGGAAACTGATAGAGTGATCAAGAAAAAAAATAATGGCATGCAATACCATGCATCATAAGCCAGGCTGACATAACTGTAGCTTCAGACCTTGTACTTGTGCTCCCACTATACTGAGTTTCCTTCCTGTTAGCTCCTTGTCTTCATGCTTTTAGGACTTTGCATAAGCTGTTTTCTAGCTTGGAACATTGTTTTTCGTTTGTTTTTGTGACAGGGTCTGAGCTTTTAGTTGAAGCTGGCCATGAACTTGCTTTTTTAAAAAATAAATCTTATTTATTTATTTGGTACAGGTTCTTCTCTGCAGCTCAGACTTGTGATCCTCCTGTCTCAGCCTCCCCAATGCTGTGATTACAGGTGTACACTGCCACATCTAGTTTTGGTGGCTGGCATGCTGTAGGCCGGCCAACATGCAGTACCAGGAATCAAACCTGGGTTCTTGTGTTTGCCAGGCAGGCACTTAGATCACCGAGCTATCTCCCTAGCACCTTCTTTTTCTTTTTTTCTTTCTTTGTCTTTCCCTCTTTTTTTTTTTTATAACTTTTTTGCTACACTCAATTTGTGTGATACCTTTTCATTTCATTGTACCCCAGGCAGCTTTCTATTGTTAGCCCTATCACATGGTATAGTGATTCTGATTAAATGTTAGCTTTCCCATCTAAACTATCAGTTCATTGGGAATATCATTTGGAATGCAAGAAATATATGTTCATCTAAATAAATTAAACATGTAGGTCTAAAATCCTGAAGAGAAGCTATATTTAAAAAAAAAAAAGATTTGGGTATCATCAGAATATTTATGGTAACTAAAGCCAGCTTTTTTTTTGGAGACAGGCGTTTGCTATGTAGTCCAGGACGGCCTTAAACTCCTGGCCATCCTCCTGCTTTAGCCCCCTGAGTGCTGGGATTAAAGGTGTGTATCAACATACCCAGTTTAAACCAGGCATACCTTAATATGTCATCAGGTATTTTGAATAAAAATAGGAAGACTTACAACAAACCCTGAAGACACCAATAACTGAGAGAAACAAGAGAATATTAGATTGGTTTATTCAGAGAAATAGGAAGAACTATGGGAAAAAAATATTAGACATGTTAAGATCAAGCTGCAGTAATTGTTAACCGGTAATAATGTAAGATCAAGCTAAATATTTTAGGTTAATTAACTAAAATTATATGGATGTCCGGAGTAGGTTCCATGGGATGATGAAAGCACAAACCGTAGGAGATTGAGGACAAGGCATGACAATCTCTCACTGTTTACACTGGTTGGAATAGTTCTTGGTTGTGAGGTGATACTTCGCATCCTCTCTGGTACCTACCTAGTAAGTGTCAGTCACCCTCAGTTGTAACAACCCAAAATGTCTTCAGATGTTACCAGTGTCCCCTCAAGAGCAAAATTATCTCTGATTGAAATTGCCAGGGTTGCAAAGCAGGTTGAAAATGGAGACACTGGGAATAAGTTGTATTCATAATGAGGCTATGAGTGCTGGAGAAAGCGTAAGTCAAAGAATGATTTAAGGAGTTAAGCGTGGTCTCTTCTGTTGACGTTTATAAGTTTGTTTTCATTCTTTCTTTAGTCCTGGGAATATTGGAAAGCTTTTGGGTCCATTGCCCATGCATCCTGCAGCTGAAGATAACTATGGTTACGATGCTTGTGCCATCCTCTGCTTGCCCTGTGTCCCCAACATCTTAGTGATCACTACTGAATCAGGAATGCTGTATCACTGTGTTGTGCTAGAGGGAGAAGAAGATGATGACCACACAGTAAGTGCAGGCTGGCTTTGGTATATTTCATATCTTTAACAACAGCTGTAGTTTGTGGCTCAACATGAATGTTTATATGATGAATCTTATCTTACATCTGGGATTTCTAGTATTTTAAATATGGCTAAAGAAGCTAAAGAAGGTTTCCATCTTACTTGGTTCACCAACCTGCATATTTCTTTCTGATCTCTGTATGACAGTAACAGATACAGAGGACCTTTGGTTTTTTCCTAAAGTAGGAACATTTTTTTCCTCTTTTAAGAACTAACAGTACACTGTAAGCATAAGAGGGTAGAATTAAGAATTTAAAAACATTTGATCCAGCTTTCGCTTATGTCTTAAATTACATACTTTATCAAATGAACATGCAAGATAAAAATTATACTTCTTTTTATAGCCAGAAAAATCCTGGGATTCCAGGGCTGAACTCATTCCGTCTTTGTATGTGTTTGAGTGTGTTGAGTTGGAGCTTGCCCTGAAACTGGCATCTGGAGAGGATGATCCCTTTGATTGTGATTTTTCTTGTCCAATCAGACTTCACAGAGGTAAGATGCTCTGTAAATCTTTTGTCCCATTGTATCTGTACTACAAGTGTTACTATGTAGTTATTTGTTCTGTGGTTCCACCCTTTAAAAAAACAAGTTAAATGTGTTCTTTTGGCCTTTTAGTCACTACGTATAATAGTACACTTACCAAACAAGCAGACTGAGCAAATTTTTCAAGATTTAAAATAGAGATCTTCAGTGTGGATATTTTTTTTTAATGTACAATACTAACTTCTTCGTGGTCCTATCAAAAGTACATTTCATACCAGTTGTGGTCATGCATACTTATAATCCCAGCACTTGGAAGGCTGAGGCAGGAGGGTCACCAAGAGTTTGAGGTCACTCTGAACTACAAAGCAAGAACCTGTCTCAAAAAAACCAAAAAACTAAAAAAAAAAATAAATCTCATGATTTAAATATTTCAGTGTATGCTGGCTTTAAGTTTTAAAAATGAAATAATACTGTAGCCATGGTAGTATAGCAATGTTTTAGACATCAAGAGACCAAATATACAGTGGTGATTCTGTAAAGCTGTAATGCCTAGTTATTACACAGTTGTAATTTGCCTAAGAACACTGTGGTGTCTGCATGACATTGACCTCATAATACTTTTCTCAGTGTTTCCTTATTTAAAGTAACAGGCAGGGGGCCCGGAAGATGGCTCAGTGGAATAAGTGCTTCCCTGGAAAGCGCAAGGGCCTGAGTTCAATTCCTGGTTCCACCAAAAAATAAAAAATAAATAAATAAAGTAACAGGTAACTATGCTCATTTTCAGCTATTTTTAAACATGTTAAGCTATTTTTTATCTTAATACATTACCTTGTTATACCCAAATTCAATTTGAATGTTACCGTAACCCTCATCCCCATGAAGCTAGGGATCAAATCCATGGCCTTCCACGTGCTAAGCAAGCACTTAATTACTGAGCTACACTTAACTTCCTTTTTCTTTGTTTTTAAATTGCCTATGTTTGTATCAGATCCATTTAGAGTTTTGTCTCCATTCATCTAAGGGGATTTTGGACAGACTGCTGAAAAAACTCAAGGAACATAGTTTAGAAACAGTGATTGAGTGGAAGGAGTTTGTGCCTTAGAGTCTGAAATACCCTGGGTTTCAGTTCTGCCTCTACCATTAGAGTGCTTTATAGTCTTGGACATTTAATTATCCTCTGGTCTTCTGTTTTCTCATCTGAAAAAAATAAGGGTCAGCAATAGATAGTTTATTATCTATTATTTATTCTAAAAGAAAACTGCTAAAATCTATAGGCCTTTTCAACATTTTTTAATTTTTCCTCTAAGATCTCTTTCCCTCTGTAAGAATGAGGAACAAGCTAGGGAGATAATTCAAATGCATAAGCACCTGCCTAGCAAGTACAAGGTCCTGAGTATTTTCAATCCCTGGTACTGCAAAAAAAAAAAAAAAAGGAACAAAAACTTTACTTGGTCTGTGGAATAATTGAATATACCTTTCAGTAGTTTTCTTTTGTCCAGTGCAGAGACAAGGGTTTCAATCTTAAGTTTTCTTTTCTTGTTTGGTTTTTTTGGAGACAAGTGCTCCCTATGTATTCAGATCAGTCTATAACTTACTGTGTAGCCTAAACTTGCACCGGTCATGCTGCCTCCAGGTGCTGGGTTCTCCAGTGCCCACCAGCACACCAGCTCTAGGATTTTAATATTGTAGCAGATTGACATAGTTGCAGCTCCCATTAGTTAGTTTGCTTCTACTCTGTACTAAAGAATAGCCAGAACATTTAAGGATGCATTATTTATTTCTTATATAATACACTATAAAAGAGTTCATTGGGCTTCTCTGAAGTGTTTGCAAAGAGATGGTCTAAGTCTAAGAACTTACAGATGGGGAGGGCACCGAGACCTAGTGAGGCAGTAATGCAAAAGTAAGTATTTCTTTGGGAAATTTTAGAAACCCCGGGGGTCATCTTCTAATGAAAACAACATTTTAATTTTGTTGAGTAAACACACCTATAATATTCAAATAATGGAACTAAACAAAAAAAGGGGATACAGATGAATGTCCATTTTGTATCTGTATTCAGAATGGTTAGGATATACAGTTACATTCTGTTAA